GGCTTGCTCGTGTAAAATATTAAATTATTATTACAATAAATAAATAAATATACAGTTGCAAGAAAGAATAATGGCACTGTTTGCAATTTCCTGGTTTTCTGCCTAAATTGGTCATAAACCAAGCCCCTAGAACTGCCTTATTTCATTTGTGTGACATCACCAAAATCAGGAACATACTGTCTGGAAAAACTGGTCCATGCATTTGTTACTTCCAGGCTGCACTACTGTAACGCTGTACTATCAGAATGTCCCAGTAATTCCATAAAAATCCTCCAGTTAATCTAAAATGCTGCAGCCGGAATACTCGTATCTCTCCCATATTAGCGTCTCTCCGCTGGCTCCCTGTAAAATCCAGAATAGAATTTAAAATCCTTCTCCTAACATACAAATCCCTTAATGACAAGGTATCTTAAAGACCTCGTAGAGCCTTATCATGCCGACAGAGCACTTTGCTCTCAGAGTGCAGGTCTGCTTGTGGTTCCTAGAGTCCACAGAAGTAGAATGGGAGGCAGAGCCTGTAGCTATCAAGCTCCTCTCCTGTGGAACCAGCTCCCAGTTTCAGTTCTGGAGGCAGACACCCTCTCTACCTTTAACATTAGACTTAAGACTTTCCTTTTTGTCACCAGCCATCAACTGCACAATACAACTTCAAAAATAAGCATCAATATATTATGTGGACTTATGAACGTTGTGCAGGTCTAATCCACAGCTACAGGAAGCACTTGCTTGAGGTTATTGCTGCCAAATTTGGATCAGCCAGTTATTAAAACACTGTTGCCATTACTTTTTCCAACCTCACTTTGTATGCTTCATGGATGTGTTCAGTAAAGACATGAAAGTTTATGGTTGTTCATGTTTTATCAACTTAGAAATCTTGTGGTTGTTGATATTTGTGACTTTAGTGCAGATCAGATCACATTTCATGACTAATTTATGCAAAAATCTGAACAGTGCCATTACTTTTTCTTGTGATTTTCAAAACAATTTTAAAATGTGTGATTTTGATTTATAGTGGGTCTACAACCAGCCAGAGATCAGTTTGATTGCAGCACCAGTGACAACGTAGAATATTGACTGATTACTCAACATTTATAATGACTGTATTATAGTATAATATTAGTAATTCTATCCCATGCAGACTGTAGTTTAGCAGTATATGTTGTGTGTGTGATCAGTGCATTTCATTTACCTGATTGGCACTGGCTTTTTAAAGCGTCATTCATCTTTGATCCTTAGACTGTGAAAACCAATCAGATGACTATGATTTTGTTTCAAAATGTCAATGTCTGTCAGCTAGAAAAGAGTAGAACTCCTTTGGGTAAAAAGAATGGTTGCTTTAAGAGAAGCTTTGTGGATTAAAAATAGGTTAAATCACTTAGAGAATAGATTTTTTTTTTCAGTTCAAGGTAAGTGAAGTAAAATAACTATTTTTACGGGCCTTTTTGTTTATATAACATTTCCTAGATGCTTATCAGTCTGAGGTTCTCCAAGCCAGCCTGTCCACTTATGTTCCTATCAAGACTTAGTCTTTACTTCACTGACATAAAAGCCTTCTTTTTGTAGTTCAAGTCACAGCTAGAATAATCACTTTCTCCAGCAGGCTATAAGAAGTAGATGGTTGGTGCTAAGAGAATAACTCCCTTTCCCCCCCTTTTTTGATAGTCCTGCTCTTTTCACAACTGGGTCTCCCACTGCCTTTTTCTTGAGACAAAATGTAAATGACCTTAGTTTTCTGGTTCAATGCATAGTTTACTTGGGGAGCACAGCGTCACTTCATGTGTCAAGGAAATAAAAACCTTCCACTTAACACAGTTGTGCATTACTTCATCCTGCAGATTGATTTTCAGCAAACTGTAGGATAGAATCAAGAGTTGTTATGTCAACCAGGAGGGCGGATGCTTCATGTGCACATGTAAAAATGCAAAAATGTATGTATAATTAGTGAAGTAATCTTAGTAGTGAAACTTCGGCACTGGCATCAAAAACATTACAAACAATACCAAGTCCCCAAGCAATTTTGTCTTTACAAAAAAATGAAGAAAGTTGTGGTCAAAATGTCACTGCTATCAAACACATCAAACACGTTACTATGATATTTATACCATATCACACACCCTTGAGTGTACGTATGCGTGAGTGTGTGACAGTATGTGTGCATTCATATACATGAGTACATGCATTCCCAAAAGCTCTCAGTAGTGCCACAGGTCAACGCACTCTAACTTGAAGTGTGCCTCAGATTTTCTAGAAGAGATAAGACCATGCACATTTATCACCAGTGAAGAGAGTGGCCATAAACAGCAATTAGTATGCACCAGCACAGTCTGGACCTGCACGATTGCTGCCTGCCGTTTGGTCCAAGTGGATCTGTTTGCCCATTTGTGTTATATTTTAAAAAGTGGGATATCAAAAAGGCATAATTTCTTTGCAGTTAAATAGGTCTTAATGAACTGTTTGGGTAATGAGGCGATGAGCCACGAGGCAAAGAGGAGCAGTGGCAAACATGGCAATTAGCAGCACACGGAGAGTCCATTTTGTCATCAACCTGTCATTGTCTGCCACTACTGAGAAAGGGGTTCATGCTGTGGTATTATTTTTAATCTTAGTCTCTCTCTGTTTCCGCACATCAATATTGCATCAGGTGACCACAAGCATGTGCGTGCATATTATGTTTCTCTTGATAGAAGTAAAGAACACCATAATTCAGCACAAAGGAGACCCCAGTACACTACTCTGTGTTCTCATTGTGAGATCTAAAAGTTCAAATAAACTTACATGGGTGCTCATTACATGTTTATGGGAATATTGTTTTAAGCCATCAGGAAACAGAGGCTGAAATAAATGAATGAATCACTGACCATAATAATATACTGTACATAGTAACATGTGTTAGATGCATGCATCATTCATGGGCACCAATCAGTTTGCCAGGCAGTTTGAGTCATTGTTCTACTGGCCATGTTTAGCTGAGGGAAACAGAAGCTTTATCATCTCATTAACACTGCTGCAGAATACATAAACCATGCTACTTGCATCCTGTTGGCTGTTTTGTCTTTGTGAGGAATTAACCAGATGGTGGTGTACTGGAGAAGTGTGCCAGTGAGTAGTGAGTAGAAGATCGGCTTCCCAGCTGGCTGGAAATTTTGGTTTAGAGGAAATAAATGGGAAGCAAGCCGTTCATCCTCTGCATCTCATGATAAAGTACACAGGAAGATGCCAAATAAGAGGAAGGGACAAGTTGATGACGAAAACATTTTGCCAGTGATGGCAGAATGTCATCACTATTTTCGAGTGCCTTTTTTTGCTTCAAGTGAAGGTAATTCGCCATTTTATGTTATTCCTACAGCATCATACTTTTTGGAAGTGGTGCATTAACAAAGAATATTTAATCCGCTTGTTCTGAAAGCAGTGGATATTTGATTATGGTGGTGCCTGTTCCATGCTCACTGCTGAAATAATTTGTTGTTTAGGAGAACTATATGACCCAATCACCTACCTTGTACGTTATGTCCAATTGTGTGCAACCAATATGGCGATATGGTTTGCCTATCTTTTATATGTAGTCAATGGTTCCAACCAGCTGTGCATTGGAAAGACCCCCTGGTTGTCGAGATTGTCGAACCCAAAATTTGCCTAATTATGCTCAAATGTGGGGCCAGCATTACTCTAAAAACAATCAATGATTCTATAGCTACAGTTTGAAGATCAACACAGGCAATTGCTCTTTGTTCAGTGTAGAGTGACAGAGACATCCTCTCTGCATCTCTGCTGTGCACATGGGAGTCATTAGTATCCCGATGTCTGCTGACACAACTGAGTGTCAGGTAGTGAAAATGTGATCCAGCACTTTCACACCCAGTGCGCACATCAGTAGCACTTCACCCAACACACTTGGTGGAAATATGAGCCCCCGCTTCTTTGCCAAGACACAATAATAGGCAATTAAACCACTCATCCGATAGAAGCAAAACAAGATTTGTTGAAAATGAATGAAGCATTTAGAGGTTGAGTAATCATTCCATGTTCCTCTTTCTTGTATATTGTCTTTCCTGGTCACTGACGAGAGTGCATGGATGGTAAATTGTAGCTTTGAAAAAGTGGCTTGTATTACATTTCTTCGAACCCTCTTCCTCTGTTGTTGTTAATCATGATGTGTCTGAGCAGGTAATGAAGTTTATGGCTATGAAGAGTGCAGTCATCCATCCTTATAATAGTGTTCTTGGTATGCTTTACATGTTGCCTCTTACTTAAGTGATGGAAATAGGTTTCCCAGTGGGTCAGTGTAACCAAGCTAATGGCCAAACACATTAGAGTATGTGTTTGTGTATATGACAGCATGATCAATGTGATCTATTTAATAATAATAACAGTTACACCAATAACACCTCACCTGTGTGTTTCCATAACAATACATGATTTGAACTGAGCTCCAGAAATGGATAGGACCTCTTCAAAAATATGACCATAAATTTGTTTTAACCCACCACAACACAAAGAATAAAGGTATATTCTTTACTGCGTAAGTAACACACTAAAGCCTAGAACAAAGTATTCTTTCATCACGCCCCTTGGACTCACAAACAGTTAACCCATCCAGTGTCCCGAGAGGATTACTTGTTCCTTAGCTGGTTCATGCGGCTGCAGCCCAAGTTAACGTTCAGCTGTAAATATCCAGCTGCATGCTTTCACACATAAAAGCAGACGTTGTGAGGTGAATCACCAAGGCCTTACATTAACCTGTAATAGAGTGATTTTTTTTTTTTAAATTCCCATATGAGTAGGTAAAAAGAAGTTTGAGCATAAACCCATACATTAAAGTGACACCCCTTCATTATGATGTGGGCAGTTGTTATCAATTATATAGAAGAAAGCAAATGTGTTGCAGGTTGTCTTCTGGTTTTAGGGGCTCCTAGTGTTTTTCAGCGTAATGAAAATAATCAGTCACACTTAAGAAAAATGAACACCTCATTCTCTCAAAGTCAGTGTTCTTTGGTCCTCAGGACGGCTGAGATGAGTTCCCAGTGTTGAAGGTGATGTGGCGAGAGGTGATTCAGGCCTACTGAGCAGCAGTTCCTAAACCAGGAACTAAAGAAAGGTAGTCAAGCAGTTGCTTTCGCTATTTACTATTCGTCCCTTATTTTAGTCCAATATGGTTAAATATAAGTCTAGAAGAGGAAAGAGCAAACCCTTTTTAAACTTCCTGAATTTGCATATATTCTACTGCATACTTTATTTTTTACGGTTTCTTTTATCCTTTTAGAAACTTGTTTTATTAAGAAACTAATGTTATCAACACTTGCAATGGCTAAAAAAAAAGCAACATAATACATACATTCTACATAATGCATTAAAAGGCAGAGCCCACTAGAACCCAGAGGTTTGTCTTTGTATTTTCAATGATAAAGTGGAATCTGCTTGGGATAGGCACCCTCTTTTTCTTCAGTTACATTTTCAACTCAGTCCTCAATTCACTTTCCCTGTCCCTCTCTTTATGTTTTGACATAGCATGGCTTATAATGTAGATCTTTACAGAAAATTAGATTGTTTGTGTTACATTTTTGGTGTTTTTCATGTGTATCCCATTAATTCTATCACCATGATTGTACCAAAACAAAAGGAGATGAAATACTGGAGGATCACTAATTTACAGTGATATTATCTTGTATTCTGGACATGAATATTTCATAGTGTATGTTTTCCTGGATTTCTTTTCAGGCAGTTGTGTGACACATCACATATGTAAACACCAACAGATTACAAGTATCACAGCACCATTTGGTTGTCATGTAATTTGTTTGCAGAATTTCCATCATATGGTGAAACTGAAAGGAATGACAGGACAACATAAATCATAATCCCTCCAAAGAAAGGAGGAATTATGATTTTCACTTGGACAAATGTTTTTTTTCTGTTTCCCACATAATAGTTAATATACTATTTTGCAAATGAACAAATAATGAACACAGGCCAAACAATAAGCCCATTGTATGAATGTGTTAATTCCGTACTCTGCTTCAAGGTTAGATTTGTGCACCGCAGCGTCCCTCAATAGTACAATTTATTTTCCATGTTTTCAGCATTTATCAGCCGACCACACTGAAGCCTATGCATTCCATCTGGGCGATTATATCACTATAGCTACTGTGTATGGATTAGAGTGGTACAGAGATAATTTGCTTGTGTGTGTCTGTGTTGTGCCACTGCAACTGTTCTATATGTATGGCAGTGTAACTGTGTGTCAAGAAAGACAAGATTGAAAAAGCCAAAGAAATAAAAAATCTATATTCTCACAGCAAGATATACATACATCGTACACACAGTGGTTTATGGTAATGCAGTTGGCATGCCTGTAGCCCTGACTGGAATGATGATGATGATGATGAGCTGCGAATCTAAAAGCCATTACACCTCCCTATGAGTTCTATTATCACCACTGACTGATAATTGCGTTGGCCTGTGGTGCTACGGGAGCGACAGCCTGGTGCTGGTGCCTTTCTTTATGGTGCAGCCCGATATGATCTTTGAGCGCACTGGTGCGAACACACTGGACTTTTTATGGTGTCCTTTTGTGTCACACAGACCAGACGGAGCTGAGACTGTGAGATAGGAATAAAAAGAGAAGGGAGAAAAAGTTAATGTTAATTAAGAGAGAAGAATGAAGGAGGGGAGAGCAAAATCAAACCTCATTTATGAGAATATTTACTGGGCTTTTGCTCTCTTTTTTTATTCACCGTTTTCTTTCAAAAGAGAGAATGATGAGGCTGGGTTTACTATTAAAGAGAAGATGGGTCATACAAGGACAGCTAAGTGGAGAAAGGTGAACTGCAATAACATCTCTCTCATACCATCACTAATTTAATGCTGTTATTACTGGTGTAAGTGGATTTTCATCTCCTTATATGCATTCCAACTTTCAGTCATTGATATTTAACTTTAGATGAAGCTGGACTGGACTAAATAGCTCCCCAGGGGGAAATCTGTTGGTTTCTATGGGGACTTTTATTCTCTAGCAAAAAAATAATGAGGCAGAGGTAGCTATGAGGTGAGGATAATAAGTTTGTAGTCAATGGTGAGCTTTTTAGCTGAGCAACTCTTAAATGAAGACGAAAGAGAGAACACTCCATTTACTGATCAGCTACCGCTGTGATGCCTTAGAGCAACACAGTAAACTTAATTAACGCAACAGAGCTGCCACCAGCAGAAGGCTGTTGTTGTATTAGCAAGTCTAAGTGTGCATGTGTTAATGCAGAAAGGGGGACGGCTTTGCAAAAACAATGAAGCTTACTCAGCTTTTCCTGTTTATGAAAACAGAAAAAAGCAGTTGAGGGAGCAGCCAGGACATATTTGAATCCATTTCATTGGATCATGTGATTTAGTGCAAGATTCATTTATGCTGAAGAGACATAATAAACTGAACAGGCAATAGATCCGTTTTTTATATATATATTTATTTATTTTCTGCATGTACCGGTTTTTAGTTGCATTATCATTCACATTTACATTGACTGGGTAAAGCAGTCAGAAGATTGTTCTTCTCCTTACCCCTTGATCTTTGAAAAAAGGATGCATCTGCAATTATTTTCCTTTTCTCCTGCCTCATCATTACCTCTGAGATCTCCCTTACTCTCTCCCTCATTTCGTCCTGGTTGTCCATCAAAAGCTGTGCTTTGATATTCATGTAGCAGTATGATTGAGATGCAAAAGAGATAGCTGCAAGGTCCCAGGTCATCGTCTTCTCCTTCTCGGTTTCCTTTTCACCTCTCGCACATATTCATCCTTCTCTCTTTTCCTCGCCTATCTTTCCCTGGTTCATCCTCTCTGCTGCCTTTTTGAGGTCATGTAATTGAGCTTTTGTCTGCTTCACGACATGTTTCTTATGTGATTCACATAAGAATCATCAGTTTTAACCACTTAGCATACCTTAGCACAGCACACTTTGCATTTTGAAGTGTTACACTCTGCTGCATATAACATCCCATCCCGAGATGTTCTTGTTCTCTGGTCAGTTTCTGTTGAGTTAATTCAGATCCCCACGACTTGTCAGATTAGGAAAATGTTCTGCCTGTTGGCCCACAGCCACTCCTGTTTGGGCGTAAAGAGTCGGTAATTTGGCCTTCAGGATGAGTTAAACCGATTTCTAATTCTTGAAGTTGTGTGAGTCTGAAAGAAAGTTTTGACCCTCTGAGAAAAGAACCCATTTCAGAGAGAATTCAGGCAAAGCCACTTGATCCGGCTTTACTGTGGATTTGTGATTTCTTCCTGCAGACTAAACTGAACCTTTACCCTTTTTGCCTTAGTGTCTCTGAGGAGGTTCTGAAATACACCTTTGTGTTGAGATTGTCACATATTTGTCTGTACCTCTTCAATATAATGTCAGCAAGAAGGTGGTGATATGGCATGACTCATGTTTCTGAAGAAATCCTGCAAATGTCACTCATGATCCCAGTCTTTGTCCTGTCTTTGCCCGGTGTTTTGCCTGTGGTGTCAGGCCCAACCCCTGTTTTTGTTCCAGTTTTCCAGCTGTCATTACCTGCTCTGCACACTCTCCAGCATTCCACTGGTGTAATCAACCACTTTGGCCCCATTTAGACTTGGTATTAAAATGTGCCTCAGTGATCTGAACACCAGTGGACAGCCGAGACACATCACCGTCAATATACATTTGTCTTCAAGGTGCCCAGCTGACCGCTTGTGTTCAGATTTTGCTACTGCTGCGACACCTCCGCTTAAACATCCAAAGGCCACAGGCACAATTATTATGCCACTCTGTTACCAGACAAGTGCGAGTAGCCTCAATAACCAAAGAAGAAAAAGCAGACAAACGACAGATTTGTACATGGATGTATTGTGAAAGTTTTCATAATACATTGATGGATATGTATTGGATCTTTCTCTCATTTTTTTTAATTTATTTATTTATTTACACTGGTGCATCGTCACCAATGCTACCATCACATTCTGCATTGATCATGTATTTCCTGAGACGCCTTAGGACAGTGGTCCCCAACCTTTTTATCACTGCGGACCGGTCAACGCTTGACAATTTTACCACGGCCCGGGGGAGTCGGGGGGGGTGTACGTAGATGAAAATTTTAACTCCCCATAACGCTAAATCAGTGGGAGACCTGAGCTTGTTTCTCTGCAACGACACGGTCCCATCTGGGGGTAATAGGAGACAATGACACCCGAAGTGTGTTGCTTATGTTCAGTCTACTCCGTTGTTTTGTTTTGGTTGCTGTCACTGCAGAAAAACCCGCCTCACACAGATAGGATGTCGGAAATGGCAACAGGGTTTTCAGTGCTGTGGTGGCGATCTCAGGGTATTCTGTCATGACTTTAATCCAGAACACCGACAGAGTTGTTGTCTCGAACATACTTTTAAGGCCGCCGTCATTTGCGATCTCCAGCAGTTGATCTTCTTCTTGCACAGACATGCTGGATTCACCTGGTTTGTTGACAAATGGGTTGCAGATCCATTCCTTGGCAGTTCGTGGGTCCTTTGTGGTTGGGAAGTAGCGCTCGAACTCTTTTAAAAGCAAAGACAGGTGATCGTGCACCAGCTGGGAGAATGAAGGCTCAGGCTCAGTCTCACCCAAAATCCCCACTAATGTTTGAAACATGTCCAAAATGCCGCTGTTGACGCGCCGTCCCCACAAATCCAGTTTGGCTTTAAATGCAACTACTTTATCTGCCAACTTGAAGATAATTAATGATTTCTTGTGCGGCCCGGTACCAATTGATCCACGGACCGGTACCGGTCCGCGGCCCGGGGGTTGGGGACCACTGCCTTAGGACGCATTAGCCTTTATGCTATGAAAGAAAGGTGGTCAAATGCATGCCAGACCAACTCTGCAAGTGGTTTCAGTGACCGGATCATCTGTCTTGGTGATCATCTACACGTGTATTTAGCACTGTCAACTTGTGATTTAACCCCCAGAATGGATTTAAAAGCATCTAAATGGGGTCTCTGTTATTAATCTTGGTCTCAGCATTCACTCACTGCCAGACTGTGGTCGTTGAACTCATCTCACATGACTCTCTGGTGTTTGTTTTCTCTGCTTGCACCTGGTTTTGACCTGTTTTCTTCCATGGACTCCAAATCTGCTTTTTCCTGTTTGAACAGCTGATTTCACCAATGTATGGACATTTGTTCTTTCTACCTGTCCTTACTATGTATGGACACCCTTGTGTTTGAACTCTGTGTAACTGTGCAGTCGGGAGTGTTTCCCGATTGGAGTTGATTTCCTGTTTTTATGAGAACTCAAGAAGGCAGTGCAGAGCAGTATAGATAATGGATGGATGGAAGAAAGCAGTGTTGCGTAAAGATGGACTAGAGTACAGATGTGCTGACATCTGGTAAATGTGGATGTTTTTTTTCCAAAATGTATTTGGGAACTTAAGGGCATCCTAGGCAGAATTCTTGGAAAAGACGTTGTTTTGTGATAGGAGATGGGTGTTACCCTAAATGTTC